ACGTGAATGCGTGGAAACCAATAATGCCGTTTATTTGACAGTATTTGTGTAACTTTTAGTGCTGGTTGACGGCTGCTTTTAGGATGAGTAAAAGGAAACAGAATACCATCGATTGGTTCCTTTCTAAACAAAACAAACTGTCTGATCCACCGGCACAAGAATTACCGAAAAAAACTGATGATAATCCTACAATTCAACCTGAGCCTTCCACTTTCTTGATGTTGCACCATATGCTGAACCAAGTGTTGAATAATCGGGTTCCGAAATCTAAAGGATCCAACCTTGTTGATGTTGCGCCATATGTAAATTTCAGCGGCAACTTGTCTTCCCATGAAAAATATACCTTATTGAGGTGTGCAATGATCCCTAACGAATCTTTTAAATACCCCTTTCCACACACTTGAAAAATAATAAAGAAGTCATATTCAGAGGAACTACAAGGGCGTTTCTGTAAATATTGCGTGGTTTTTGCAAAATTAGGAGGAGTACATAAATCAACTAAATTGTGAAAGCTTGTTACCGTACCACTAAAGAAATTTTCGAAATTTTATGGCTAAACCGGTGATTGTGAGACACATGAGAACCAAATATATCATATAGAAGCAGTTTCAGACGCTACAAACTTTTTAAAGATTTACGAAACTCCAGCGAATGATATAAGAAATATACTAAGTGACATATAAATCCGAACACCCAGTCTAAATGGTTTTATTTTAATAAAATTTTGTATAAGTACTTCATGAAGCATAATAAGTAAATGATAAAAAATTCAAAATGATTGCACAGCTTTAAAGCCCTTTGACCTTTAATAATGTGTGGATGCACCCTGATGTGCTACGCATTCTCCAACGCGCCTAGGCATGCTTCTGATCAGGTGGTCAATGTCCTCCTGTGGTATCTCATTCCAGGCAACCACCAACTCCTCTCGAAGTGCTTCTAGAGTCTGAGGAGGACGTTGCAAATTGAGCAATCTCCTACCCATCATATCCCACACGTGCTCAATTGGGGATAAGTCGGGAGATCTTGGTGGCCATGGTAACAATGTGACATCATTATGTTGAAAGAAGTCTATTGTGACTCTTGCAACATGTGGTCGGGCATTATCTTGTTGGAAAGTTGGATCTGCCAGGGTGTTAAGATAGGGTAAAAGATGGGGTTCTAGAACTTCGTGGATATAACGCTGCGCGTTCATGTTACCTCTGATGAAGATTAAAGGTGACCTGGAACCATAAGCTATAGAACCCCAAACCTTAACTCCAACAGTGTGATGAACATGTCTTTCAACAAGCAACTGTGGATTCCTCCTTTCACCACGTCGCCTTCTAACCCTGGCACGACCATCGTGCATGCCTAAACAAAATCGAGACTCGTTACTAAAGACAATACTGTTCCATTCCTGATCCCAGAGTGACCGTTGTCTGCACCACTCAAGGCGATTACGTCGGTGTTCTCGAGTTAAAGGGAGGACCCAGTGTGGCCGGTATGAAAACAAGCCAAAACTTCTCATTCGTCGGTAAACACTTCGCATGCCAATAGGTCTTCCGTGTTCTGCAAACCATTCATTTGCAATGGACCTGGTAGTGGAGAAACGGTCCCTTAAAGCCAATAATCTTAGGCGGCGATCTTCACGGTCTGTTGTTCTACGGCGGCGTCCAGTGCCCCTTGCTCTTTGCGTACGGCCTTCTCGAAGCCATGCCTGACAACACCTAACCAGAGTGTCTACACTTCTTTGCACTCTAACTGCAATTGCCCGAAAAGAAAGTCCAGCTTCCCGAAGTCCCACTATACGGCCCCTATCAAACTCACTAAGTTGACGAAATCGTACAGGTCTCCGTACTCTAGGCATCGTAACCGATCGTAAAGGATGTCAAGAACCAAAATCCGCCAACGTTGATTCTTTACTGCGGCTGAAATATTCATTTTTAGAGCGTTAGTGAATTAAAAAAAGCAGTATAAAAACCGGAATGTCCAACTGATAAGGCTGAAAAATTTTTCACTTGTTATTTACAGTAAGATAAATACATTCACCAACTTTTATTAAAATAAAACCATTTAAACTGGGTGTTCGGATTTATATGTCACTTAGTATATAATAGGTTCAGAGCGAATTAGGCAAGTATCAGAAAATCGACAAAGATTGACTATAATGGAATCTATAATTTTTTTAGGACGCCAAAATATACCACTGAGAGGGTATAGAGATAGGCGACGACTTTTTTCTAATGACAGCACGAATGACGAGGATGTCCTTAATAATGAAGGGAATTTTAGAGAACTAATACGGTTTAGAATCGAGAGCGGCGACAATTTATTGAAAAAAAGAATTAGAGAACTCAAAAGCGCATGCTACGTACATAAGCAGCCGCATCTAAAATGAAATTATAGAATGTTGTAGCGAAGAAATCTTGGATATAGTTTTAAGTCGCGTTTGGCAAAGACAGGTCAAATTCTTGCTCAAACAGTCAAACATTTCATTAAAACCAATAACTTAGACTCAAAACTATGTGTGGGCACTGGTACTGATACGTGTAACCTAATGTTAGGTGAACAAAAGGGCGCTCTAATGGAATTGCAAAAATGTTTTCCAAATGCTCTTAAAAGCCCATGCGCAAATCATGCCTTGAATCTTTCGATTTCAAAAAGCAGCAGTGTCCAAGTAGTAAGAAATACTGTAGGTATAATGAAGGAAGTAATTGCGTTCTTCAAAGCATCTGCTAAAAGAAAAACAGGATTAAAAAGAAAACTAGACGGATATCAAATTCATAGTATGTGCGAAATACGATAGACCGAGAGACATGAGATTCTGTGCTCCAATTTGGAAGCAAATTCGAGAAAATTGTAGAGGTACTAAGTATTATATCAAATTGGAAAGACCGCGAAGCTTCTTCAAAAGCGGAGTCCTTGAAGACTGCCATTACTTCCACCCAATTTATCGTATCAATAAAGTGTTTGTGTGATATATTGGTTTTAACAGTCAACCTGAGTAAGATTTTGCAATCAAAAACAATTGACAAACAATACGCTGTCAAACTCATAGGAAATATTATTTCAGTTGTACAAGAAAGACGCGCAAATTCCGAAAAACACTTTAGAATACTATTCGCATCTATAATGAAATCACATGAAACCCTGGGTATTGAACTGACTGTGCCAAGAATAACAAGCAGGCAAATGAACAGACCGAACATAGTTACGTCTGACAAGAAAATCATTACAGACTGAACCTACATGTCCCTTTGCTAGATAATATATTACAGGATTTGGTATACCGGTTCAATGAAGAATCATTGAATATATACAGTTTTAATATTTTCTTTGCGTCAGTATTTAATTCGAAAACTGAAGCTGAAGTAATGGACATATTAAAACAATCTTTAAATATTTGCGTGGACTAGACAGAATTTGTCCTTTGGAAGTCACGTACACAAGATATTATAGACAGTGGAATGTCACTGTATTTATCATGTGATGAAAACATTTTTCCTTCAATTAATAGATGCCTACAATTATTGATTTCATTGCCGGTAAGTTTTGCGACATCTGAAAGAAGTTTCTCCCATCTAAAGAGGATAAAAACTTGGCTGGGCTCCACTATGTTACAAGAGCGATAAGTGGCTTTAGCTCTTTTGTATATGCATAGGGATACTAAAATTGACGTGAATACAATCATAGATCGGTTCGCCAGCAAAAAGAATAGGCGCCTTGATCCTTGATAACACCTGAACTTTGCCTAAGGTTGTCTCTCAAATCCATCTCCCTTCTGTTGGCCAATAAATAAAAAAGCAGATGTAGTTAAGGGTTTACTTACGTTTAAACCACCACGGTGATCTTTTTCAAGGTATCCAATCAAGATATGTGGTTTTATTTATTTTCCAGCAGTTGTTTTGTCCGACATTGTTATGTAGAAAAGTCTGTGATAGATTATATTATTTTGCATTTTTGTTTTACTTTATGAAGATTGCTCGAGCTTGGTTTGTTTTATTTACATTTTGATTTCGTATAATTCAAAATAAAAAAAATTGTATGTATTTTCTACAGAAGTTACTGTAACAAATTCATATGTCTGCATATGTCCATGCTTTTAATGTTAAATCATTATAACACTTCAGTACGTCACACTGAGAATTTACTTTCCATTTTACCCCTCCCAGACTGAAATCCTGGGAGCGCCACTGGACTGGGTACTCTTTCAAAGTTTCTAAATAAATTCTTCAAATATCCATTCACAAATTCCCAAAGCATTTTAATGGATATTGTTATTGTAAGCTTCTGTTTTTTGATAGTTGCTTAAGCCCGCGATCAGTGTATATTCTGCGTAAGCGGAGCGAACAAAAATTCTCTTGCAATTTGCTTAAAAAATTGTTTCAAGTAATTTTCGATGCAATTTAGGTCATGGCGGAGTAACAGTATATGAAAAAGAAACGATAGGAATATTCTCCCGAGCAATTTACTACCTTGACTGTCCATAGCTTAAATAGATAGATGTGAGCTTTTTATAGTCTTTCTCAGGTAGGAAAGCTCGTTAGAATTGCACTATTAGCCAAAGCGACATTTTCGAAATATGATGTACACAAGTCATGCACTCTATAATGGTAAACAAAGGGTAATGTTCTAAGCATTTCATTATGATTGGTAGCTTCGTTTTAAATATTCTGGCGAAGTATTGGTCTCATTTCATTATTTAGATGAAAGCACTGCGTTTAACGCAAATCAGAAGCAAGGTCCGTGCGAAAATGAAAAATTGTCTGAAAGGCATGCCGGTAAGTTTCCAAATCAAGTTGGATATCATCTTGAGATAGAAACTCTTTGCGAGATGAAAACAAAAAGCAATAAAAATCGTTCTTTACTGACGCACGGAAATAAAATTGCTAATGACGTATATTTTTCTGGAAGTTACCGTCTCTTTATTATGGACTGCAGATTTTCTCACTGTCCACCCAAGGCCAACAAGAACTTGATCTAGAAGGCTATCTCTTTTCCAAGCATTTATATAATGATTACGTACATATTTGCTTATAACAGTTTACTGCGGTTCATTATCAGTTCCTCTTGTTTTAGGAAAAACCACAGATGAATTATTAGTGTATTTATATTAGTTATATTTATGGTATATTCCATAGGCTCATGAAACTGATCTATAAATTTTGTTCCTTTATATCTCTTATAATAATCACTTATCACAATCCACCTGGTAATGAACGTGTATTTGAAAATATCCTTGTAGTTTCCTCGTTCAGGAATATTTTTTTTGTTTTAACGACCTTACTACACTGAATTACCGACTATTAAACTGATGCAATTTCTTTGGCATATTACTATGTTGTTTTTCAAAGTATAAAAATACCTATATAAGCTGAAGAAAATCCATTGGTTACGCTTCAGTTGTTTGTGAGTGGTGCATCTAAATTCCAAAAATGAAGACCAAGGACTTCACAGGAATACCTATAGAGGTTATCAGAGACGTATGTATTATTTACCACTTTTCATTTAAGTAATTATTATTAATTTAGCGTGTTGGCGAATGCACACAACTTGGTCAGCATTTTGCACCATTGAGAGACTTGCCTTAAGTAGAAAAATAGGGACTTACCCAAGGGTATTTGAAGTATTTGCAGTTTAGATAAAATTCGTTTTTACGAGCACGAATATGTTGTCACATTTCGCTGAGATTGACAGGAAGCCTCAGAAATCCTATTTCTCAAGAAGGGCTTCGGGACATTTTAGGATGTATTGGTTGCCATATTCAAAATCAGCATCCAAAATTACCCCAGTGCAGGGTTTTGTTAACTTGTCGGCATGGAGGACGAAAGTGGAAATTTTACATAGCGAAATATCACCGTGTGAAAGCGCATTGAGAAAAAGTTCAAAAATTCCTGGACATCCACAATCTTAATCAAAACCCGTTCTTGGGTAAATCGGATAAGGTGTTACAAATCTCAAGATTCTAGCTGAGATCGTTGAGAGCCCCAATTGCTCTATTTTCCTACCCAAAAAAATATTTTATGATTTTTTGATGACCATATTCAAAATCAGCACCCTAAGTTAGCTTGATGCGCCAAGCTCTATTCACTTAATACGAGGTTGATTTTCTTTCTAGAAAATGACTCATATTTCAAGCAGATCACATCTATGAAATGCTTGCATTTAACAATAGCTTGCACTGTGGGAGGGAGAAAACCCCTTCATATATAACAAATTACACTAGAAACAGTTTTCAATTAGCTTTTGTGAAATGACAAATATGAATATCTCAAAAGAGCATGTCTGTCCTTTGACTGCAAAAGTTCCTGTCTGATACGAATACCCAAAGATTTAATTTGGCTTTTGGCTATTGGCACCACTGTCTTTTACGCATATTTAATTTTCGCGAAACATTGCCCCATAAAGTCCTTAATAGCAGTCAAATTTACTAACAGGATTCAGAATATTCCAGTATAATACTGGAACCGGTTATCATAATCAACATTCTTGTTTATAAGCAGTTATGCAAATTTTACGTATTTTTCCAATATATGTATACAAAAATATACTTTCAAGTTTACTAGGATCTGCTTACTTATAACTTGTAGCACAAACAGTATTTCGTTCGGAGAAATCTGGATTTATAAAATGATTTTCAATTTGCATTTGGGCATTTTTCAAGTTCAAAAACGCAAAAACTTCGAAAACAACATATATTTATTGAATATTATATGACATGTACATCACGAAAATAATGTCAATTTTTCCGTCTGTCTACCTGACGTCTGTTGTCGGTCGTCTGTGCAGTAATTAGTGGTAATTCAGAAAGTAGTGCTAAGGTCTTGATCAAACTTTGACCACCTACTGCCATGCTAAATATGAGAAAATGCTATGCAGGATTTGAACATAGGACCAGCGATGGCGGAACTAAGAGCGAAAAAATAAAAATCTCAATTTAGCATTGAGGGTAGGATTAAGATTCCTAAAAGACCTATGCCTTGCTTTTTAGCACTTTCAACCTTCTGGTCAGTTAGATAGGCGTAGTAGTAGTAGTAAATTTTGGTAATTGAAAATAGGAATTAGTAAATTCTTATATTTCACTTACCATTGATAACGCTTTGAATTTTTATATACCTAAAACTTTGAATATATTCATATAGATGAGATGAAAAAATGTTTAAATATAAAATCTTTTTATAAAAATTTGTTGAGTACAATTTGGCTCCAAAGAGGTAGGATAGGTTTTATTTTGATGTTTTATTCCATTCCAGCCAAAGCTAATGCCTGGTGGAAACTACATCAAGACAGGCAAAGACTCTACCCAAAGTACTTGTCTCCTCTTTGCACCACAAGGCGAGGAAGTTGGTACTCTAGCGAAGTACCTGGCTATCTTCCAGAAACATGGCGTCAATCTCAGTCATATCGAATCAAGACCTTCAACAAAGGTACCCAACAAGTATGAGTTTATGGTAGAGTGTGTACCGTCTGGTGACCTGGGGGAGGCTGCGTGTGAGCTCAAGAAAAGTTGCGAGTACTTGAAGATTATTTCCAGAGATTACAAGGATAATATAGGTAAGGACTGAATACTAACAATACTAGGAGGACTTCCATGTTCTTCATAGAAACACAGACATGTTGTGAAAGTCTTTCCACGTCTTACCAAAAGTGGATAAACAGTTGTTGGATCACCATCTTCAAGTTACCCGACGTGAAATACAGACGTATTTATGAGTTTGTGAAGCCAAAAGTGTACGATTGGAAGAAACGCCATATACATTTTGAAAAACTATATTCAGTAAGGTTTTCATGACTTCCATGCATTAATATTCTTTTCGAGAAGAATGAAGTTTTAATAATGACCTGGTCAAATTTGTTATGCCTTTTTGAAAATTAACAGGTACAGATGAAGCCCCGAAAATCGAACTAAATCATTTAAGAAAAACACTTGCTAAATATCACAAATTGTCATCTGCCATCTAGACGGGTTTTCTATTCAATTTAAACTAGATTTTTTGTGATACGGGCGCCTCCAAGACGCGGATCCACTGAACTCGCAAGATTGAAAATTAGCTCTAAATATTTCGTGTAAAAGCGCGAAAACTCTACAAAGAATATTTACTTCACAATTCTTGGCATTCTTCGTTATTTTACTTGCAAAATTTATATACCAAGGTCGACAGTACGTCATTTCCGAGTAATTCACGTTTTTATTATAAATTGAAAGAAACATTCTCAAAAACTGATACATGATTCTTAAGAACTGGAACCGAATTTTGCTATCTCAAACGTGCTGTTGCTTGTTTCTTACTTCCATGCCAATGGGAGAAGGAAATTATACTGGTTATACTACGGCAACTACGAAAACTCTTAAAATCGAGATATCCGTAGTTGTTGCTTGTCTGTTTGAACATCGGTCTGCTTGGTCTATTGTATGTACATACATACCTACCAATATATTTATTGGAGGTTACATAACAGGCATGTCAGGAAAAAACAATGTCACTCATTACTGTCGGTCTGTATGTCTGGTGACTTTTGGTCACTATGACTCGCCATCCACCGATCGGAGTTTAAGGAAACTAACCCCCGGTTACTACCATGCCAAGGTCGGAAAGATTGTAGGTTTTAATTATTGGTCCAGTAGCAGCGTAGTCATTCCAAACTCCATTTTTCGAGCGTTGTCAAAGCAATTTTAAGGAACCAAGATAATCAAGAGTGTTTTATATTTCACTAATATTGCTTAGGATGTCCGTCAAGTTAGAAGGTTAATCATAGAAAAGCAACAGTTTATTTGATTAGCATAGTTTTTTGAAAAAGTAAATTGTCCAATTTTGACATTTGTTTCCCCAGGTGAGAACCCTCAGCATTTATCCTCAAAAAGATAGTTTTCTTGTAAAACTTGTCTATACAATTATATTTGAAAATATTCGGATCCTTCGAACATTATGCATACAATGCCCTATTTTTTAAAGGTACCGTCCCATGGTTCCCACGACGTATCAGAGATCTGGACCGATTCGCAAATCAGATTCTATCGTATGGATCTGAGTTAGATGCTGATCATCCTGGATTTACTGATCCTGTTTACAGGGCAAGAAGGAAGTATTTTGCTGATATAGCTTACAACTACAGGTAAATATTACACAAATAGATAATGTAAATTGGAAATATATAAAAATGGCCGTCACGTATAACGGTTTTTCAACATGTCTTCGTAACTAGTAGACGTAGTTTAATATTGTGCCTATAAATATATATGTACTCCTATAGGTGCTTAATGGTGTTCTGTATTCAGGGTAAATATAAGTTTACTCGTGGCCTTAGTGACTGGTCCTAAAGTTTGAAAGACTTGCAACTTTTAGTATTTGTATATACCATAAAATATTATTCAAACAGTGGGAACTACTCAATTTATCTCATATTTTCCCTTTCCAGGCATGGTCAAAAACTCCCACACGTGGATTACACAAAGGAAGAAACTGAAACGTGGAGAAAAGTATTCAAACAGTTGACTACTCTCTACCCGACTCATGCTTGTAAAGAACACAACCACGTCTTTCCGCTGTTAGTAGAAAACTGTGGATACAGAGAAGATAACATACCTCAGCTGGAGGATGTCTCGAACTTCCTTAAAGGTAACTTCAATTTGGAAACTCTTCAAACTCCTGACTTAGTTGTGCATCTCAAAGTATAGTAAGGTTATTATTATCACTACAATAGAGGGCAGAAAAGTTTGATGACACCGTTGAGTATAGTCTTTTTTTCACACTGCATAATGTATGCCTTGTCATGTAGTTCCTTATTGTTGTATTAATTGACAGTTGTTGCACTCACTGTTTCTTGACTAAAGATATTCCACAGCAGCGGTTGCCAACCTTTTTCTTACTGCGAACCCCTTATAAAAATTTGAATATATCAGCGAACCCCCTGATCAGTCGTTAGTGAGATTAAATAAAACAGTACTATTTGGCAGCTATCAGAATTTATTATTTATTCTTTTCAAAAGTTCACTTTCAACACTGTTATCGTTAATTCTCCGTGCCACTGTGCTGTTTGATAAGGGCACAAGGTCAATTTTTTTGCCGCTTTGTCTCCAAGTAGCCCATTGCGCCCCATGTCTTTAGCACAAGGTCCGATCAAACTTTCTGTCACTGTATGAGCTTTTAAAGAACTTGCGATTCTGTACTAACTCGAAATGATGCTTCAAGATGCAAGAGTCATTTTACTATCTGCGTTGAAAGCCGATAGGAAAGAAGAAACATTACAATTCTTATTAACTTCCAATTTCCTTTTAAAATATCCAATAGGTTTATCCTTGTAATGCGGATGTCTTGTCTCAAGGTGCCGACGAAGAAGCGATGGTCTTACTACTGTTGGCCAGGACTTCATTACTAATTACACAAAGCGGCTTAGGTTCTGATTCTTGCCCGGTGAAATAAAAACCCATTTGATAATAGTCAGTGTCGTATTCATTTCTTTCCTTTTTTTCCACCATGCTTGTCTATTTTCTCATTACTTTTATTCTGGCGAGAAGGTACCTGAGTATAACTTTCAATATCGCCACCTTGTATTGGACCCAAATTGGGAACCGAAGAAGAAGCTGTAGTTGATTGCCCATCTAGCTTTTCGACATGTGCGTTTGACTGCACTCGTACTTCCGGAGTGCATTCTTAGAAAGGTCTCGGTGCGCTCGATTCGCCGAAGTAGAACTCTTGCCTGATTGCTGTAGCGGCAGTGTTGCAATATTGAGAACAAATTCCGCCATCACCATAATTTTTTCGCGAACCCGCTTCATATAGCTCTTGAACCCGTAGGGGTTAGACAGTGTACCACACGATTTGAAATAAAATGTCTCCTTATCCACGTGGATGCTGTCTCTTTTTTTATTTTTTGGTATTTCCTCGGAGATGTTGTTCAACATTGCGATGTCTTTAGCACAAGGTCCGAACAAATTTTCTGTCACTGTATGAGCTTTTCCAGATCTTGCGATTCTGTTCTAACTCGAAATGATGGTTCAAGATGCAAGAGTCATTTTGCTATCTGCGTTGAAAGCCGACAGGAAAGAAGAAACATTACAATTCTTATTACCTTCCAATTTCCTTTTAAAATACCCAATAAGTTTATCCTTGTAATGCGGATGTCTTGTCTCAAGATGCCGACGAAGAAGCGATGGTCTTACACTACTGTTCGCCAGGACTTCATTACTAATTACACAAAGCGGCTTAGGTTCTGATTCTTGCCCGGTGAAATAAAAACCCATTTGATAATAGTCAGTGTCGTATTTTCATTTCTTTCCTTTTCTTCCACCATGCTTGTCTATTTTCTCATTACTTTTATTCTGGCGAGAAGGTACCTGAGTATAACTTTCAATATCGCCACCTTGTATTGGACCCAAATCGGCAACCGAAGAAGAAGCTGTAGTTGATTGCCCATCTGGCTTTTCGACATGCGCGTTTGACTGCACTCGTACTTCCGGAGTGCATTCTTAGCAAGGTCTCGGTACGCTCGATTCGCCGAAGTAGAACTCTTGCCTGATTGTTGTAGCGGCGGTGTTGCCATATTGAGAACAAATTCCGCCATCACCATAATTTTTTCGCGAACCCGCTTCATATAGCTTGCGAACCCCTAGGGGTCAGGCAGTGTACCACACGATTGGAAATAAAATGTCTCCTTATCCACGTGGATGCTGTCTCTTTTTTTATTTTTTTTCGCATTATTTTACGTTGTGCCCTTTCCAGTACCTCCATGTCTTTAAGGAAATAGGGACACCATACGCTGAGTGATGTTCAAGTTTTCGAATGTACCTTTTGTACAGGTTGTCTATCATAGTAGGAGAGTGGTTTTAACAGCTTTTTCAATCAAACATATCAGTGGGCTTACTTGTTTTAGTTTTGTTAGTAATGGTAGCTTCCCATTTTATCTTGTGCTATTATAACTCTTTATGGTACTGTAAATTTTCAGTTAGCTCCTATACGATAGTTTATATAAAGATTTGTCTTCCCATTATGAAAAGTACACTTTTCTGCGTTGAGTGACATTTGCCATTTCTTACACCACACCTCGATGATGAGGGTATGTATTCAATAATTTCGACTTCTTATAATGTAATGTAATCCAAATATATCATCTGCATAGTATGAAATCTTAGTTCTTATCACCATTGAGATATCTGACGTGTTAACAAGAATAAAAGAGGTTCAAATACAGAGCCCTATGGAACACCACTTAGCACTGGATTGTTGGTCAGTTAGAACCCCATTTGTTCTTACTTGGAAGGTTCTGTCAATAAGAAATGCCTCCGTCCAATCTAAAAGCTTACCCCGTACGACAAAAGGCTCAAGTTTATAAATCAAATGTTTAAGGGGAACTTTAACAAAAGATGCGGAACTTTATCACACTTTTTTATAACACAATGCACTTTTTCTTTGAAGGTCAAAATTTCTATATGTTCACATGATTTGAATAAAAAAAATCTATCTATCTATCTTTTATTTCAGACTGTACTGGCTTTACCTTACGTCCTGTAGCAGGACTTCTATCATCCAGAGATTTCCTGGCAGGTTTAGCCTTCAGAGTATTCCATTCAACTCAGTACATCCGACATCCCAGCAAACCATTTTATACACCAGAACCTGATGTTTGCCACGAATTGCTAGGACATGCCCCACTTTTTGCGGATCCTGAATTTGCGAATTTCTCGCAGCAGATTGGACTTGCGTCCCTTGGAGCTCCAGATGATTACATAGAAAAACTCGCAACTGTGAGTACCTAACTCTTCATCAGATTCTCTCATGGCCGCTATGTTTAAGTTCTTTGCTGAATAAAATATGTATAATACGTTTAAAAGTCAAAAATAGTATTCTTATGAAAATACTTGAAAACGTTGATTTGATAAAATATACTAAGTGACATATACATCCGAACACCCAGTTCAAATGGTTTTAATAAAATTTTGTATAAGTACTTAATGAAGCATAATAAGTAAATGATAAAAATTTCAAAATGATTGCCCTGCTTTAAAGCCCTTTGACCTTTAATAATGTGTGGATGCACCCTGATGTGCTACGCATTCTCCAACGCGCCTAGACATGCTTCTGATCAGGTGGTCAATGTCCTCCTGTGGTTGCAAATTGAGCAATCTCCTACCCATCATATCCCACACGTGCTCAATTGGGGATAAGTCAGGAGATCTTGGTGGCCATGGTAACAATGTGACATCATTATGTTGAAAGAAGTCTATTGTGACTCTTGCAACATGTGGTCGGGCATTATCTTGTTGGAAAGTTGGATCTGCCAGGGTGTTAAGATAGGGTAAAAGATGGGGTTCTAGAACTTCGTGGATATAACGCTGCGCGTTCATGTTACCTCTGATGAAGATTAAAGGTGACCTGGAACCATAAGCTATAGAACCCCAAACCTTAACTCCAACAGTGTGATGAACATGTCTTTCAACAAGCAACTGTGGATTCCTCCTTTCACCACGTCGCCTTCTAACCCTGGCACGACCATCGTGCATGCCTAAACAAAATCGAGACTCGTTACTAAAGACAATACTGTTCCATTCCTGATCCCAGAGTGACCGTTGTCTGCACCACTCAAGGCGATTACGTCGGTGTTCTCGAGTTAAAGGGAGGACCCAGTGTGGCCGGTATGAAAACAAGCCAAAACTTCTCATTCGTCGGTAAACACTTCGCATGCCAATAGGTCTTCCGTGTTCTGCAAACCATTCATTTGCAATGGACCTGGTAGTGGAGAAACGGTCCCTTAAGGCCAATAATCTTAGGCGGCGATCTTCACGGTCTGTTGTTCTATGGCGGCGTCCAGTGCCCCTTGCTCTTTGCGCACGGCCTTCTCGAAGCCATGCCTGACAACACCTAACCACAGTGTCTACACTTCTTTGCACTCTAACTGCAATTGCCCGAAAAGAAAGTCTAGCTTCCCGAAGTCCCACTATACGGCCCCTATCAAACTCACTAAGTTGACGAAATCGTACAGGTCTCCGTACTCTAGGCATCGTAACCGATCGTAAAGGATGTCAAGAACCAAAATCCGCCAACGTTGATTCTTTACTGTGGTGAAATAAAAAAAAGCAGTATAAAAACCGGAATGTCCAACTGATAAGGCTGAAAATTTTTTCACTTGTTATTTACAGTAAGATAAATACATTCGCCAACTTTTATTAAAATAAAACCATTTAAACTGGGTGTTCGGATTTATATGTCATTTAGTATATATTGCCCAGTTACTAGAAGTTACTACTTATACTTCACAAAAATATTAAAACCAGAGCCTGCGTAAAAAATTCTCTGAAAGAATTTTTTGAATAGGTTGAGATATTGGAAAAATCTAATTTAAGCTTTTCCACAAATTTTGTAGGGCTTCTGGGGTTTCCTGTGATTTTTTTTGATACTTCTTAGTAAGAGAAAGTTGACTTTCCGAACTTTTTTTAGTGTTTTTGGTTTACTGTCGAATTTGGTTTGTGTCGAGAAAATAACGAGGTGAAGGCCTATGGAGCCGGTTTATTATCATCTTATGGTGAACTTCAATATGCTCTTGAAGATAAAGCTGAAATTAGGCCATTCGAACCGGCGAGAACCGCCTTGCAGAAATACCCTATCACCGAGTACCAACCAGTATACTATGTTGCTGAAGATTTTGAGGATGCTAAAGAAAAAATGATGTAGGTATTACGTAAAAAATATACAGGGTGGCCAATATATAACTGATCTAAAATTGCGCGCCATTTTTGATACACGTATTTCAGTAGGTGGCGTCGTAGTAGCTGCTTAAAGCACATGTGTCCAATTCATCATATTGCGCTACACGAACCCACAACGCGTCCGTATTGTTAAAACGTTTTCCTAAATAATGAGTCGGATTGCTACAATTCTACAAGCTACGACAAGATTTCGGTCGAAATAATGTGCCCAGTGTCAACAGCATTCATCAGTTGGTGCGTAAATTTGAAGAAACAGGTGAAGTTAAAGACTTGCCTAGGTCGGGCCGTGTTCGAACTGTTCGTACTCCGGAAGATATCGAGAGAGTTCGTGAAAGTGTAGTGGAGCGCCCTGAGACATCTCTACCAAACATCGTCCTCAAGAACTGGGTATAAGTCGCGCGTCATTATGCACTTATTTGCGTCCATACAAAATTTAATTAACCCAAAAAGAAAATAACGATTTTTACCGACAACTGATAATGAGCGATGAAGCCCACTTCGCTATGAACGGATTTGTTAATAAGTAGAATAGTCGTATCTGGGCATTAGAGAACCCTCGTTTCATCCATCAACGACCACTACATACTCGTCGATTCACAGTTTGGTGCGGTATTTGGTATGGAGGTGTCATTGGACCTTACTTCTTTGAACACGCTGCAGGTAATTCTCCTACTGTCACTGGCGAGCGCTACCGTGATATGGTGCAAATCTTTCTGGTTTCTCAAATCCAACAATTTAACCTGCAAAACACGTGGTTCCAGCAGGACGGAGCGACTTGTCAAACAGCTAGGGAAACAATGAATCTTTTGCGAACAATATTTCCGAGACGTTGAATTTCTCGATTTGGTGATGTCAACTGGCCACCAAGGTCACCGGATTTAACGGTTCCTGACTTTTTTATAAGAATCTTTGCAAAATAGGGCTTATAATAAACCAAATACTTTAGAGCAGCTGAAGAAGAATATTACGGAAGCGATTGAAACTATTCCTCCCCAACCTACCAAAAAGTGATGGAAAATGTAATCAAGAGGGCTCACGATTGTGAGGTTTCTAGAGGCGGACATTTGTCTGATATTATTTTTCATGCATAATTTCAGAAGTTTCAAATGATTAAAATGAAAATTGATGTATTTTATTTCATTTCACAAATATTCAACATACAAACCAGTCAGTTACATATCGGCCACCCTGTATATATCTATACTCTTCTCCAAAAATGTTTGAATCGGTCATTTTACTACATCGCAGTTATTGAAAATATATTAAGCTGACTATGGCATTTGAATTTTGAAAGGTTGAAATGTGGAATAACACTCACAGTTTGATAATAATACAGGAGAAAGTCTGAAAAATTGTTATTTTAACAAGAAATATGATTAGTGGGATCATTGATATATAATAATGTATCACAGCTATCTTTATCCTCTCCGTAATAACTAGGAACCTACTTTAAAACGAATTTTTACATGCAAAAAGCATTCTCATTGACAATCAGTTTGGTTTTCGTTCAAGATGTAACACTGGCGATATACACGCACGCATGTAAAATATATAGAATCTGGTGAATATCCTGTGGGAATATTCTCAGACATAAGTAAACCTTTCGATTGGGTCAGTCATCAAATACTATTAACAAAAGCTGACAAATATGGAATTCGCGGTAAGTCCTTAGAATGGCATACAAGAAACGGATGCTTGTAAAATACAACATCCGCGTTACTCAATGCTGACATTTGAAAGCCTCAAGCTCCATCCTGGGCCCTATATTGTTCATAATTTTTGTGACTGACATTACGTCTTCGCTGATGATGCCTCAATATCAGATAAAAGCACAAATTTAACTGAAGTTAAAGTACATAAGGGATTAAAGCAACTGTATGACAGGTTTGACATCTACCTCTAAGAAAGCATCCCTGGTAAAAAAGAATTTTGAAAAAATTGTGACTTAAGTGGTTTTTGAAGTGACAGATTCATTTGTATTTACGATTTTTTGTCTTTGGGGTAAAGGGAGAGGAAGAAGCGTATTTTGCCTTAAATTGTACTTTGAACTGTTTAGTGTCACGAACTTCGCAAGCATTGGATTTAGCTCGAATTCTAGTATATAAAACATTACTATTCATTTTTAGCTTTCCGACAACCACCATCACTACCACTGCTGATGTTATTGAACGTATTGTTTCCATTTTTCAGAAAATATGCAGCAACGATTCCAAAAGGATTCAGCGTGAGATATGATCCGTATACACAAAGCATTGAAGTACTTGACTCCAAGCCTCAAATCCAGAGACTTGTGAACAATATTCATATGGAGGTAGCTGTATTGACAGATGCTTTGAGAAAACTGTAATGCAGGCAATATTGACATAATATTGACACCATTAAAATAAGATTATTTTATAATTATCATGTGTATTAAGTATTAGGCAGTTGGTAATTTATTTGAAACAATGTGATGTTTTTTAGTCATAGCTGTAAGATAAAATAGTTTTTAAATACACTTTCTCACTGCGTCCAAATAATAAGGGTCATATTTTTTTTTTATACTCAAACTACCACGAAAGCCTAAGGCCTAAGCACCCATTGGGTACCGTGGGGCTATAGGGGAATACATGGGAAAGGGGGGGACGCCACACGGACTCTGGGGAGGGAACACATGTGCATGCAATATGCACACATTCTGGCTCCGCCTACGAGAACCGCCGGGTGGTACCTCCGCGTTCGACAGTCAGAGACCATCTACCACCTACGGACAATCACAACATCCATAGCCAAGGGAAAAATTTCTCCTGGGACGGGACTCGAACCCGCACAGCGCACGGCGACTGATCAGGAGGCCGAAGAGTCTACTACTACGGCCACCGCTGCTGCCTATACAATTCCTATATTTTTAAATTTCCTTGAGAATGATTCCGTAAACCACTGCGTATGTATGATCTGCACTAAATGGAGACTCAATTTGCTGGGATGTGACACTGATCCATATTCTATTTCATACCTGTATTTCTTCACCCAATAACTACAACTCTTCGCAACTTTTCTATGGTGATATTTGGAGTTCAGCATCTCGAATTATATAGATATACCAAGTTTTATTCACGTGTAATAATGTGAATGGAAGTTTTGCTGTACAAAGCCCTATGTTATTTAGATTTCCTATGATAACATTCCTGAAAACTCTTGTGTATCTTTGATCTAGATGAAGTCCTTTTTCCCGAGCAAATCCATAAACACAAATACAATATCGTCTAAAGAAAGATAAATACATAATCTTTTATATCGATCTAGACCAACTGCAGTAGTCTACTGTGGTTTTTGTTAACATTTTGATCGAAAGGTGGATAAATCAAAAAAAAAAATAATTTTGCAAGCAGGCAAGTTCGCTGTCAATTTAGGAGGGCCATCAAAGTTACTTAACGCTATGTCTCATTTTAGCAACAATTTCAAGCGTAAGCAGTCGCATGTAACAGCTTGTGCCTATAATATACAGGATGTTAATTTTCTATACAGGGTGTTCCTTAATGATATGCGAATATGTAAGGGTGTGAATCTACATGAAAAACTAATGTTAGTTTGCTTTATAAACTATGGTCCAAAAATGTTTCCGTACAAAAACTCGGGGTATTGAAGTTTTAGGCAAAAAATGGAAATTAATCAATATTTTCAGAACCGCTTCAGATATTTCACTGATATTAAGTACGTAGTGAAAGTTAATAAAGTTGCATATTTTTCAATGCAAAAATAATTTTCAGCTTTAATAGTGGCGTGCGTACGGGTATTGACTTCGATAGTTTTTAAGAAAAAAAAGGTACGCCAATGATTTTTTGCCAAATAAAAATTATTTTTGAATTCCCCGTTCGATTCAAAACAAATGATCTCTCTTGAGTTGCTTTCCTTTGATGCGCCATTTTTGAGTAAAAAATAGAAACCGTTCTATTGTCCGAGAAAATGATTATAATAATTGAAGCATGCGATTTAGCAAATAAATATCTAGTTGCTCTGGAATATGTCACTGGCTTTTGACATCTCTGTCTCTGTTATTCAAATCTGTTCGCTGTGACATCTTTGTCATTATTTAGCTTTACAATCTTGTAAATAATAGTGAATTATTCAAATGCAGAAATGGCGGAAATTCATTACGTATATGGCCTTGCCGACGGTAATGGTGAGCAAGCCAGACGGATTTATCACCAGAGATATCCCGATCGTGCTTTGCCAGATAGTAGAATCTTTTCTAATATTCATCGTCGTCTTGTTGAAACTGGTTCTGTTCGAAAAGGAACCTCTGAAGGTAGACCTCTGAGTGTGAGAACACCTGAAATTGAGGAAGCAGTACCGCACAAAGTCGAAGAACATCCTGAAACGAGTACGAGGAAGATCGCTAGACGCTTAAATATTTGCCATCAAATTATTTGAAGAATTTTAGTGGATTTTTTGTAATATCCTTACCATATTTTAACTACTACATTGATTTTCTAAGGCGTGTGACCTTGTGTCAGTGGTATCTTCAAAAAATTACACAAAATCCGCAATTTGAATCAATGATTCTGTTCACGAACGAAGCTAATTTTTCTCGAAATGCCATTCAGAATTTTCACAATAATCATTTGTGGGCAGAAGAAAATCCCTATGCCGTAACCGAAACCCATTTCCAACACCAATTTTCGGTTAACGTATGGGCAGGAATTATTGGCAACCACTTTATTGGCCCATTCTTCTTGCCGGGACGACTTGACGGACAGACTTACCTCAATTTTCTTCAACAACAGTTGCCTTTGCTGCTTGATGATATTCCGTTAGTAATAAGAAACAATATGTGGTACATGCATGATGGTGTACCAGCGCATTTCAGTGTAGCGGTTCGTAACTGTTTATCCAAATCGTTGGATTGGCCGCGGTGGGCCCCAAGAATGGCCACCAAGGTCCCCAGACCTCAACAGTTTAGATTTCTTTTTGTGGGGCTATCTTAAGACACTAGTGTACACAAGTCCCATTAACACTGTAGAGAAATTAAGAGAAAGAATAGTTGCAGCTTGTGATAGAATAAAAAACACTCCAGGGATATTTCAACGAGTGCGCAATTCCATGAAAAGGAGGGAGGAAGCATGCATTCTAAGTGAAGGGGGCCATTTGCAACGATTTTTGTAATCATTTCGGTGGTTTTAATGTTATGTTTATGTTGTGAGTTGTCATTGTTCATTACCCCTAGTGTGTTTAATTTATCCACTTAAATTAATAATAATTTTGCAAGTTAGACAATAGAACGGTTTTAATTTTTTTTTTACTCAAAATGGTGCATCTAAAAAAAGCAACCCAAGAGAGATCATTTGTTTTAAATTGAACGGGGAATTCGAAAATAAATTTTATTTTGCAGAAAAGTTGGCGTACCATTTTTTCCTTAAAAAATATCCAATTCAATACCCGTACGCACGCATCTGTTATAGCTAAAAATTATTTTTGCATTGGAAAATATGCAACTTGATTAACTTTCACTACGTACTAAATATCAGTGAAATATCTGAAGCGGTTCTGAAAATATAAATTAAGTTTAGTTTTTTCCTAAAACTTCAACACTCCGAGTTTTTGTAAGGAAACGTTTTTGGACCATAGTTTATAAAGCAAACTAACACTAATTTTTCATTTAGATTCACACCATTAAATATTCGCATATCATTAAGGAACACCCTGTATTTATTGTTTTTTATGTAGACTTCACCCGGTTTCACTGTTCCGATAAATTTTTTAAAAACTTATAATTCTGATATTACATCTTTTAAGATCACTTTTTTGTACACCTATAATTGTGTTTTTTTCGACCGGTTTTTTAATAGACAAGAATGTAAAATTAAAGAAAATTGATTTACGAAATGTGTACACGAATAATTATTCAAAATTGACATTGTAGGATTAATGCTAAATGAATCTTCAACAAACAAACAAATACCCGAAAATCTGTAGATTGAAACTAACAACACATCGGAAAGACTATCCCAATATACCCAAGAATCAATTGGTACAAATATTATGTTTTCGATTGTGCTCCATTTTTTGGAAGGAGACTTTCATAAACTTCTCTATAGTAAATAAAATTCATTAACAAAAAAATTATGTTGCTGTAATTACGTCGATTTTCTCCTTTCTTTACTTGGCAGGTAACCAGGAAGGATGTTTTAAAAGGTGATGAAATAAAAGTAAAAATCCAAATATTTATTTGACAAGCATAATAATTTTTCCTTGACAAAACTATTTATCAATTTTGGCACACATCTTTGTTACTATATTTATGACACATGACATTTATACAAACTCGTTTGGCCACTCACATAGTGACTCACTTTTCCTTCACTATGGCCAGTTATGGCAAACCGTATATTATAGTACCCATAGAGTAGCCAGTCAGAGTACGTGAAAACAACCATAATGATAATGCTACATCAGATAAAAGTTCGTACTCTCTTTATTATATTTGTTATTAATAAAACGGCTGATACAGAAATTTTGACATTAAAAATTAGTGTCGAATGATACACCAAAAACTTCAAGTTTAATAGTCTGTTATGATAAAGATAGTGTAAGCAAAATTCTAATTCCATGGCTAAATTATTCTTCAAGGTATTAACTTTCAAACAGGTAATAATTTTCAATCATTTTCAATATGTACTTCGTTTTATTCAATTTTTGCCAGTTATAGACCACGGTGCTATGGTGTAGCTACTCTTTGAAATTGGCGACACTGCCAAGACGGTCGCCAGATCAGGGGTCTTCCATATACTTCAATAGAATAGTCGAGTAGGTAACTTAAGCAATGACATATTGATATCAATGACATTATGTACGTTTTTCCGAAAAAATGTCACCTTGGAACTAGCTGTCATTCACTCCATGTGCGTGTTTCCTAAACGACATTAAACTTGAGCTATACCATTTGGCTCTGATGTGATGTAACATCTGCTCAAGAGATGGCAGTAGCTGAGGTCATGTACGAGGGCTGTTCAATAAGTACCCGTGTTTGACGACAGATGGCGTTCCTGAGGGAAGTTAATGTTATCATCGTGTACTGCCATCTATCAGACGACGGCACAACACATTTTAGACTGATTGATATGTTAGTTTGGATGTGGCAGCCATTCGAGTAACACGTGTTTCGTGACTTTCGCTAAGATGGAAGAAGAGCAGTATCGTTCGGTAATTCGCTTTTTGTTTTTGGATGGGAAAAAATGCGAGGATATAAATGCAAAGTTTGATGCTGTTTATGGGGGCACTTCGCCATCTATATGACCACAGTGACCACATTGGTTCAACGAATTTAAACGTGAGCGAACATCCGTTTTTGATGAGGATCGACCAGGACGACCGGCAGACGTGGTTACCGATGAAATCCACGACGAACGAAAGTACGCGAAGTCTACCGGAATAGCTATCAACATTTTACGTGATAAGTTGGCTATGAAAAAATTGTCGGCCCGATGGGTGCCGCGATTGCTCACGGTGGACAACAAGCGGATACGGTTGTTAACTTCGAAGCAGTGTTTGGAGTAATTTAATCGAAATCCGAAGGAGTTTTTGCATCAAGTTGCCACCGTCGATGAAACCTAGATTCATGATTACATACCAAAAACTAAGCAACAATCAAAACAATGGATTTCTCCCGTTGAATCTGCTCCAAAGAGGTCGAAGACGGTCCCATCGGCCGGAAAGGTTATGGCGATGATTTTTTGGGATGCGGCGTCATCCTCGTGGATTTTTTATGAAAAGTAAAAACGATCACTGGACAATACTATAGTGAGTTATTGGACCGCTTCGGCAAAAATTGAAGGAGACACGGCCACATTTGATGAAAAAGAAGGTGCTGTTTCACCACGATAATGCACCAGCACATTCATCCGGAGTTATCGCCACCAAGCTACAGGAATTGCGTTATGAAGTGCTGCCGCACCCGATCTGGCACCCTGCGACTTTTTCTTGTTCCCTCACATGAAAAAATGGCTCGCGGGGAAAAAATTTAGCACAAACGAGGAAGTCATCGCCGAGACAGAGGCGTATTTTGAAGAGTTCGACAAATCCTATTTTTTGGGGGGGTTAACAAAATGGCAAGATATTGAGAAAAGTGTATCTTTCTAAAAGGGGATTATGTTGAAAAATAAAAAGAAATTTTTTGGCAAAAATGGTGTCTTCATTTCTAACACGGGTACTTATTGAAGCGCCCTCGTGTAGCTTATATGGCTTAAACGGTACATTTTATACTAGTATAAGTCGTTGTTGCATTTCTCTCTAGGTGGCGTTTACAGCGAGTGCCTGTGACGTGGCATAGCAACTAGATAGTACAAAAATAAGCGATCCAAGTTGCACATACCTCTTTCATTTTCTGTCCTCCAAAAATACCGAATTACAGCGTTGTATTAGCGCGGAAGACAGTCTAAAAAGGATTATTGATACTGGAAGGTAATGCCCGAGCAATAAATTATAGATAAAAGGTACCGCACTCTACAGGAGCGCGCGGCTTGGTTGGGTTCTCTCCAGTGGCGGCGGGCTATTGCTGTTGATGAGGTGCAGGGTGCAGGCTGAATTAAATTCGCAATATGGTGTTTTTTAAAGCAAATTGCATCTTTATTTGTAAAATATCTCCAGGCTTTTGAAAATGAAAATATTTCTTTCAAATTTCAATATTCAGGGAGAAGCAGGTTTGATTAATTCTGATATGGTAGGTTGGATGTTTGGTATTGAATAGACAAGCCGTATGTGCTAGGCTACCGAACATAGTTATATATGGAAAATTCAGAATGTAGATATGAAAAATATTTAGATTACGAAATCTATGCTGGCTACAAGTTGTCATTATGCCGATCTGGGCGATGCCACACTGCGGATTCTGCAGCAGCCATTACCGCTGCTAAAAATGGTCTTCTCCAGTATGTAGTCTGAAAAATTACTATCTGGATTTCAAATTACAAGATAAATACTCCGAACTGGAGACAGCTAACGGTAGCAGCAGTGATCCTGTGAGAGAAACTGAAGTAAAGTCCCGCAGTTTGGCTCATTATTTTTTGGAAAGTAATACGTTTTGATGGAAAACTGAGAGAATGCATTTCTGGAAGGGCTTGAACGTAAAAACAACAGAATGTGAACTTGCCGCCTAGATAGTTCCTACTGAGCAAATGGTAGATTCCACGTTTGCTCGCTATGATCGCTGCGAGCGTCCATCTATGAAGAAATGACTCAACGACACGACACTCTTAATGACCTGCAAGCTGCAAGTCAGTTCCCCATCATGCTTTGTTGGTTGCAGAATGCCGAGAGAGTCTGTAGAGTATACACTGAGAAGCTGTGCGGTTGATTAGCAAGATTACATCTGGATATAGTGTGTATTGGTCCTGCATGTGTATAAATAACATCAGTGATCTTTGCTGTGCTAGAAAATTATTACTGAATAAGCTGCCCATGAAATATATCTTTTAGCGTGCCAGACGGGTTATTTGTGTTGTCATTTCTGAAGAGAGATTATGTTTAAAGTTATACATTACGTTTTTCCCAAATTTTTTTGCGTTTTAAAAAATTTGGGAAGCATTGCGGAAAATCAGCACCGCACCCGCGTTTTGTGTAATTAAGCCACATCACAGACAAATTGGAAATGATGTATAATATAAAAAATATTTTCGATCTGCCTCACATCTATGCGCTGATTTATATTTTATAGTTGACAAATTTCTACAAAATTTAAATGACTGTAAAAATGTGAAATGCAATAACTTTTTTACGTTTATATATATATATATATATATAAATATTCGTGTATGTACCATATTTTCTCACCTATTAGTTTTATCAAACAAGGATTTTCTTTTCCTATCGCTTTCTTTTCTGAAATTCAGCAAATTTGCATATGCAATTTCTAGGTTGAAAAAGCGGATGCGTAATTAATTTTTACCTTTGGACACATCTCAAGTATGTATATTTGAGACAAGAGACCAATAGAATAATGCTACCTCTGAACGAGATGTTACATCACATCAGATTCAAACATTGATAGCTGAAGCATCATGACATTTAGGCAACACGTACAGCTACGGAACGAGTACACAACAAGTGTACAATAGCTAGTGCTGAGTGGACATCTTGTAGAAAAACCTACATAATGTCACAAAAAACCTATATAATGTCAGAAAATGACACAATGTCACTTTTCAAGATACGAAACAGCCCTGCGGGGGTGAAGGAAAAGTGTATTACATGAAAATTACGATCTTTACGGTGTAAAAGGAAACTAACAAATCCAGTATATACCACTGATATGTACAGATAAAAAAATAACTCAGTCCATATATCTATATTCACTTACAACTTGAGTAAATGTCATTCAAAAACTTGCAAATATCATGGTAACACATTACATAGCACTGATTTTTCTAAGATACGAAAACGTGTCTTGTATCCACCACATAAGAGGCTGCACTACACGAAGCTGTTGGATACTGTTGATAACTTTGATCGGAATGCCATCAGACAGTTTATAAATTTTTTGAAAGGCAGGAATTTCCCACCGTAGACAAAGTAATAAAGGAGGTTCATAGTGATGAAGACTTACCTAGTTTCAAAAGAACCACATTCAATAGTTTCCTCAAAGAACTTCATTTTGAATATAGAAAACAAGGCAGAGATAGTATTTTGACGGGCAGTCATGAGATTACTTTATGGAGAAGAAATTATTTAAAATCAATAAACAAATACCACGACCAGGGCAGGAAGATTTATTACTTGGATGAAACCTGGATAAATGCAGGACATACCTAAAGTATGAGCCGACTCTACAATTAAATCAGCAAGACAAGCCTTCTTAGCTGGACTAAGCACTGGCCTAAAGAATCCATCGGGTACGTGTATCTAATCAATTCGTCATTTGTGTTGTAAAAATGCTGCCAAGTAGACTGGATCTATAAGCCCACGCTGAAAACTTAGCTACATTAAACTTAGATATATCTGTAGATTTGGAACCAACACCTGTTAGAAGATACTCTGCTTGTATTATTATTAGTTTTCTTGAATGTTATATGAAATAATTATTTCCAGGAAAAGGAAAACGATTTGTTATCTGTCACATTGACAATGAAGATGGCTTTGTGTCCACTCCCCTATGGGTATTTGAGTCAAAGAAAACGACCGACTACCCAGAAGAAATGGACGGGAATTCATTTGAATGGTGCTTTAAAGAAACGCTCCCAAAGCCTGACGACAATGCTGTCATTGTACTTGATAATCCTAAAATATGGTCAAAGCAGAACTTATCCATCTAGTCAGGGAGAATAAATATAAATATAATCTTAATGTTATTGACGAAATGGCTAAAAAGCAAAATAAGTCCATTTTAAGGCTACCCTCTTATCACTGCGAATTAAATCCCATTGAAATGCTTTTGGCAAATATAAAAAACTATATGACTTCAAACAATAGAACATACAAATTTTCTACAAAATTTAAATGACTGTAAAAATGTGAAATGCAATAACTTTTTTACGTTTATATATATATATATATATAAATATTCGTGTATGTACCATATTTTCTCACCTATTAGTTTTATCAAACAAGGATTTTCTTTTCCTATCGCTTTCTTTTCTGAAATTCAGCAAATTTGCATATGCAATTTCTAGGTTGAAAAAGCGGATGCGTAATTAATTTTTACCTTTGGACACATCTCAAGTATGTATATTTGAGACAAGAGACCAATAGAATAATGCTACCTCTGAACGAGATGTTACATCACATCAGATTCAAACATTGATAGCTGAAGCATCATGACATTTAGGCAACACGTACAGCTACGGAACGAGTACACAACAAGTGTACAATAGCTAGTGCTGAGTGGACATCTTGTAGAAAAACCTACATAATGTCACAAAAAACCTATATAATGTCAGAAAATGACACAATGTCACTTTTCAAGATACGAAACAGCCCTGCGGGGGTGAAGGAAAAGTGTATTACATGAAAATTACGATCTTTACGGTGTAAAAGGAAACTAACAAATCCAGTATATACCACTGATATGTACAGATAAAAAAATAACTCAGTCCATATATCTATATTCACTTACAACTTGAGTAAATGTCATTCAAAAACTTGCAAATATCATGGTAACACATTACATAGCACTGATTTTTCTAAGATACGAAAACGTGTCTCTTGCTTTCTCAAAGCAATGAAAGGCCTAACTATCCATTAATCGTGATCTTCTGATAGCTTTCATTGCCTTTTGGTTCTCGTGACCGTAGATATCTACTTCATATCAATAATTTGAGGTACTCATCTAAAAGATATGCAGGAGAGACGGAACAAAATTTGAAACATTGGAAAATCGCTCATGTCCTTTATGAACGGTGAAACAGACAAAAATGTAGATGATGACACATATAATACCAACTCATAAGAAACGTGATATATGACCTTATGTCAATATAAAATTGATGGAAAAATACATACGATGATACTTTATTTTTGAAAATATAAAATTTAAAATGGCTAATATTTACAATTCTTATACTAATTGAAAACTTTCTTATAGAGATCTTAAAATTGTGACTTACGATCTTTTTAGATAGGCACGTCAAATCGTTCAACTTAGCGATAAACCGGTGAGGTTGTAGTCCCGTAAGCGTTCCTCACCACCAAGACGTCGTCGTGATAGCATGGACAACTTCATGCTGACGAATACATTATACCATTATCGAAACGTATTTCTTGAGTTGTCAGTATAACTGAACTCAAAATCTACCATTGAACTAATTTTAAAGCATTGGTGGTAGGTATTCGATAGGCAATCCGAGCTTAACGTCTTTCTCTATACAAACTAGATTTGAAACATACAGTGTTCGGAAATGTTCTTTTTCCTTTCAGATTTCCATGTCTACGATAGAGAGAGAGAGAGAGAGAGAGAAGCGTGCTACACCTTGCAATACGTAAGTTACTCCGCGCTCTCCACCACTGCCATTGCCAGGCAACGCGGTGACGACGGTTATATTACGCACTCTCTTCAATACGCTTCTCTCTCGTACACATGGAAATCAAAATGGAAAAACCACGTTGGCCGGCACTGTATACTGATCTGAATAGAAAAGGTGGTATGAGACTGCGGTCTTACAAGGTGTTATAAACTTGAGTCTCACTTCAAATAGTTGAGAAGTGATAGTAAGCCTTTCAAAGCATCGGAGAAATGTTTAAAAAACGATTCAATAAATAATAAAACGTGCTCGTTTCAATGCCTGTGTATACATCCAGGAAACAAATACGTAAACACCTAAGCGACATAAGGTGTAAATAAGTTTGGATTGTTTTACTCCAACAATTTTTTTGCATACTAGGGATGCAGCTAGTACTCGGCTCTATCGGCGAGTATCAAAATACTCGAGCGGGTAATCAAAAAATGTAATTCTTCAATATCGTGTCTTTTCGAGCTTCTAAGGGTTTTAAGGGCCAAATTATTTAAAATTTTCTTGATCATATGAATACAAGTAACAACGATAATTTATACTTTATAGAAAAACATATTCTGTGATGTCTGTAACAAAGTTGTCATATTTTTAAGTAGATTCCATTTCTATTGGCAAAGGAAGTTTTAGAGTTTTGAAACAAATCAGAATCCTGCACATTTTAGTTAAAAACATTATTTAGAAGAATCTTTTTGCATGAACTTCCAAACAACTATAACTTCCGCCCCCATGGTACATAAACAATGTTTCTCTTCATTTAACCTTCACGTCAAGAAATGTTCATACCGGCTCATGGTTGACAGCGATGCTATTAGGTAATAGCATGAAGCCTCATGTTATCTACCTTCAAGAACAGTGCAGGTTAACGATATCGATACCTTTTATCTATTCTTTTGCAATAGGAGATATTAAAAACAAATGTTACAAAAATGTGATTTCCAAATATGGTTTCATTTTTAACTCAATATCGTAGCTGAATACCAGAGTAAAACGTAATCGTATACAGGGTGTTAGGGAAATAATATTCGTAACTTTAAGAGGTGATTCCTTGCATTATTCTGATGAAAAAAGTTCATTATAACCTATGTCCGAAAATCAACCGTTTCGGAGTAAAAACATGCTGAACTTATTTCTTTTTAGTCATGAAATAAATTAATTATTCACCTTAATAATTCAAATTCATATGCCTAATAGAGTAAAATGTAACAATACATCTATCTATTAATTAGCTGTGTGTAACAAAATAATTTTCTTGCTTATTAAAAATACAATTTTCCGAAGAAAAACAGACAAACAAAATCCCTCACACAACTGGCAATGTCGTACCCCGCCTGCACTGCATAATATATCATCGCATGTTGTTGTGATTACCAATACATTTAACTGTAACTTTATATGATTTACGGATGTTGGTTTTCTTTTTTCGTGCATCGCATCGTTTCAAGCAAGTGACTGATAATCGTGGGAATTGGTGGTGTGTATCTCTGGTAAGTTCTGTCATTTTTTTTAAGTCAATGTACTGTACTGAAAGCGTTGTTAAATAAAAAATATCAGCCACGAAAAATTGCGTAAAACTATTCAATAATTCAAGGCATATTTTCAACAAAAATATCATACAAACGTAAACAGTTGCGGTCGTCGTGCGCTCGTATCGCGGTTGCGTTGCAGCGTTGCCAAATGTTTGAGAAAATTTAATTATTTACGAATCACTTTCCTTGAAAACGATTGATTTTCGGACATACGTTAGAATTAACTTTTTTTGCTTAGAATAATGCAAGCAATCACCACTTGAAGTTATGAGCATTATTTCCCTAACACCCTGTATATCTAACTGTTGCAAGAGTCTTGACTATTTGATGAGCAAAACTTCTGGAAACTCTTCTGTTGGTGCGTGAACGTGGACGGATGAATATTTTTTTTTAGTAAAGAGACCTTTTAGAAACTCAAATATAATCACTAACAGTAACAGAGCAAATCAATGTACCGAGTATCTCGTAATCAGTACTCGAATCTGTCAGAGCATCTGCTAATCGCGTTTTGACAAAAGTGGTTTTCGGTGCATCCCTTTTGCATAGCCAAACGTATTTATCTCCTGGACTTATAAACAGGTATCAGAAGAGCAAACTAGTTTCAATAATATAAAGCACACTATCAATCATAACTCTTCGTTTAGAGTCAATTTGACACTTGTTCACTTTCCTTGCGTATTTGAGTCCGGCTGGCTATAGATGATCGTAGCAGTGATATGAGTATGACCTGAGACTGACGGTTGAGGCGCGGGTCCTCCCACAGGAGGTTGTAGCGACCCCGATACAGGAACGATCACCTGTCCACCCCCCGGTACTCCATGCAGCATCTCATCTGTTGGGGCTGAACCGGCTGCCGAGGTACTGCTGACGGTACAGGATGGGGCTCCGGTAACTGATGTCGTCACTGATTGGTGATACTGCATCGGAACCTAAAGTAAACAAATGTACGTGCATGAGAAGCAGCGATGAAAATCGTATTGAACGAAAAATATTCAATATTGTTTAAGTATATAAATAAAAACAAAAAATTGTATCCACCACATAAGAGGCTGCACTACACGAAGCTGTTGGATACTGTTGATAACTTTGATCGGAATGCCATCAGACAGTTTATAAATTTTTTGAAAGGCAGGAATTTCCCACCGTAGACAAAGTAATAAAGGAGGTTCATAGTGATGAAGACATACCTAGTTTCAAAAGAACCACATTCAATAGTTTCCTCAAAGAACTTCATTTTGAATATAGAAAACAAGGCAGAGATAGTATTTTGATGGGCAGCCATGAGATTACTTTATGGAGAAGAAATTATTTAAAATCAATAAACAAATACCGCGACCAGGGCAGGAAGATTTATTACTTGGATGAAACCTGGATAAATGCAGGACATACCTAAAGTACGAGCTGACTCTACAATTAAATCAGCAAGACAAGCCTTCTTAGCTGGACTAAGCACTGGCCTAAAGAATCCATCGGGTATGTGTATCTAGTCAATTCGTCATTTGTGTTGTAAAAATGGTGCCAAGTAGACTGGATCTATAAGCCCGCGCTGAAAACTTAGCAACATTAAACTTAGCTATATCTGTAGATTTGGGACCAACGCCTGTTATTATTATTAGTTTTCTTGAATATTATATGAAATAATTATTTCCAGGAAAAGGAAAACGATTTGTTATCTGTCACATTGACAATGAAGATGGATTTGTGCCCACTGCCCTATGGGTATTTGGATCAAAGAAAACGACCGACTACCCAGAAGAAATGGACGGGAATTCATTTGAATGGTGCTTTAAAGAAACGCTCCCAAAGCCTGACGACAATGCCGTCATTGTACTTGATAATCCTGCATACCACACTAGAAAACGAGAAAAAATTCCCACAATGTCCACAAGAAAGGCAGAAATTCAACAATGGCTCCTATCAAAAGTCATTAGTTTCAATGAAAATATGGTCAAAGCAGAACTTATCCATCTAGTCAGGGAGAATAAATATAAATATAATCTTAATGTTATTGACGAAATGGCTAAAAAGCAAAATAAGTCCATTTTAAGGCTACCCTCTTATCACTGCGAATTAAATCCCATTGAAATGCTTTTGGCAAATATAAAAAACTATGTGACTTCAAACAATAGAACATACAAATTTTCTGACGTGAAGAATTTGTTTTATGAAGCTGTCAACATAGTGACGGCAAGCCATTGGAAAGATTGCATCCGTCACGTTCAAGAGACAATCAAAACAAAGATGTGGGATCTGGACAATATGATCGATATTCAAATTGAACCTGTAATAATTAATTTCAACCATTCGGAAGATGATTCAAGTACTTCCAACGAATACAGAATTGTGAAAATTATGTGCACTTCTTTCTATAAAAATAATCATTTATTTTTTTAGATTATTCCAAGGCCATTGAGGAAAATACGGACCTGCACAATCTCGCTTTTGGCATGTTGTGTTTTGTCTGAGCGTAAATGGACTACGAACCGTACTCAGTGATACATGCGTAACCAGAATCGTAAAATTAATATTCAAAAATTGGCATCAAAATACGAAGTTGGAACAAAATTATAATCGTCTTCTGGCAACCTCAAAATAGTACCACTTAATAAGCTTCTGTAAAATAAGAGGTATATTTAATTTTGCATTTTTCCATTACAAGATTACTTACGTTTTGCACAACGGCTTGTGCTTGTGACCCAGGCAACAATCCAAGCCTAGCCATGAGCAACTGTTCAGATACCCTCCTCAGTTCCTGTTGCTGTTGATCGATGATAGCTTGAAGCTGCGCATGTTTTCTCTGAAGATCAACTTGAAGCTGAGACTGAGCGGATGACATCACCATGTTGTCGACCTCCTGGAAATGGTAAAATTGCATCATATAATAGCATATTTCGACCGAGCAGAAGACAATCTAAATATTACTCTAAAACAGAGGGGTCATCATGTACTCAGTGACATTAGAAGTGTTACACCAAGAAAAAATAATTTTATTAGCTTGTTTTTTTGGCAACATAATGACTATGTTTAAAGCATGCTGTGGCAACAATGTCAACGTTTTATCTTTGTTTTTGTTTAACTTTGTTAAAATATTATCTCTTAGTTTTTGTGAAGAAAGTTGTTCCTGAGAGCTGAGTAGTGCAGATATTTTTAGTTATTGCCTTTTCATTTTTATATTTTTATATTTTTTTGTATTTTAAATTTACTTTTTAGTTTAAATTTTATTATTAAAGATTATACTATTCTAATCGAATATGAATTATTTGTTTTAAATTCTAGTTTAATTGTAATAATTATTATATTAGACTGAATATCTTTAATATTTTAAGATTCGTTTTATTTATTTCATCTATGGTTATTTATTATAGGGAAGAGTACATAGAAGGGGATTTTTATTTGATTCGATTTATTTTATTAGTAGTTATATTTGTTTTATCTATAATATTATTAATTATTAGCCCTAATTTAATTTCAATTTTATTAGGCTGAGACGGTTTAGGACTAGTTTCGTATGTTTTAGTAATTTACTATCAAAATTTTAAATCTTTTAATGCAGGTATATTAACAGCTTTATCTAATCGAATTGGGGATGTAGCTATTTTAATAGCAATTGCTTGAATAGTAAATTTTGGTAGTTGAAATTATATTTTTTATCTTGATTTGATGAAAAATGATTTTATTATAGAATTAATTAGTTACTTAGTAGTTTTAGCGGCTATAACTAAAAGAGCTCAAATTCCTTTTTCCTCTTGGCTACCCTCTGCTATAGCAGCTCCGACCCCCGTGTCTTCATTGGTCCATTCTTCGACATTAGTAACAGCAGGGGTTTATTTACTTATTCGATTTAATTTTACTTTATCTGAATTTTTAATGTATTTTTTATTATTTTTAGCTAGAATAACAATATTTATATCTGGTATAGGGGCAAATTTTAAGTATGACTTGAAAAAAATTATTGCATTATCAACTTTGAGTCAGTTAGGTTTAATAATAAGAATTTTAGCATTAGGGGGTTATAAATTGGCTTTTTTCATTTGTTGACTCATGCCTTATTTAAGGCACTTTTATTTATATGTGCCGGAAATATAATTCATAATTTAGGGAGTTGCCAAGATATTCGTTATATGGGAAGGCTATTATTTGTATTAAGCATAACAAAATGCCTCGAGTTCGAAGACGTTCGAATTATCTCCATGTTAGCAACTTTGGCAGTAGTAGAATTATTGCCTATCGAGGTGTTGGTTTGGCCTATCGCGAAATTAGCCGCGAAGAAGGCCAACTGGTCCACCGAGTCGTACCACAAAGCATCAAGTTAGGTGCTTCAGACAACTAGCCCTACGAGACTGTTTTGCTGACCAATGGTTTGGAGAAGAAGATAGACCTGTTATTATGGGTACACTGTATCGCCGCATTCGAGCCTTTTTACTTTTTTCATATCGTCCGCTGTTAGTGCTACCTCTGACTGCGGACCACAGTCGTCAACGTTTGAACTGGAGCAGAGAACGGCAACATTGGGATTCAAAATTGCATTATCTTCAGCGACAAATCGCGATTCTGTCTAGGTACGCACGATGGTCGTAGAAGGGTAAGACGTCGTCGTGGAGAACGGCGTGATATTGTATGTGCTCTTGAGAGGCATGTACACAGGACTGTTGGAATAATGGTTTGGGGGGCTATTGCCTATGGTAGCCGATCACCCTTTCTCTATGTTCAAGGCAACATGAATGCTGCTCGTTATGTTGATGATGTCCCACAAACCACTTTACTGCCGTATGTAGAGGGCGTCCGTTTTCAGCAAGACAACGCCCGTCCCCATATTGCTCGTCGTACTACAGACTTAATTCAAGAAGCAGGCGTTAATGTTTTGCTGTAGCCACACCGTTCACCGGATTTAAATCCCATCGAACGTGTGTGGGATATGATGGGGAGTAAACTATCCACTTTGAACCATCCCCCACAGACTCTGCCACAACTAATCGACGACGTTCGGGTCGCTTGCAATGAGGTGCCACAACCTGACATCGACCACCTCATTTTGTCGATGTCTAGTCGTATATAGGAGTATATTCAGCTGCGGGGTCGCCCAACACATTATTTTCTTTCATTATTACTTGTCAATAAAATTTCGTGAAAATGTTATCGTTTCATTCTTGATGCAAGACTACCTCATTGCCAAAAAATCAAGCTGAAGAAATTATTTTTTCACTTCTAATGTGAGTATAGTTTATTTCTTAAGCTATTAGAATCTACTAGACCAGGGTCTGATATTTTGTCGTCACTGCAATGTTTGTTATGAGTTCTCCAAGATTGTGTTTTGAATAAAATCAACGATTTTGTGAATATATCAAGTAGTCCCTCCGCTACCCATGTGCAAGCATCTCTGACACGCCATAAGATTGAAGTTTGCTTCAACGATAGAGTACATCTTGTAACCCAATGAGCGTAATCTATTAGAGGCAGTAAGAATAGCCGCGCTGCGTCATCTCTATCAGCGATCACTGTAAAGGTCGATTCATAAACTGTGACGATGTTGCATGCATTCTTTTTCACACATTTGATGACTAAACCTGTATGCAGAGAGTCTTCATTACCTGTAAGATAAATCTCATTCAAATCATATTATTGATATGAATAAACTAAATAAAATATAGCGTAACTCCCTCGTATAGCTGGGACCTTGCGTGGCGTGAGATGGCCTCGCGACGTCGACGCTAGGCAACCAGATTTACACCAACATGTATCGCAGGTTACGAGCGACTGTGTTCACGTGCGGCGCTATCTAGAAGGAATTGAGTTTTTTGCTAGAAAATGCTGGAGAACATCGGAAACCGTTAATTTACGTCATAAATGCCCGACCATACCTTAGTACAAGTGTTATAAATTAGTGTAAAAGTAATAAACTAGACTTGTGTGGCGTGGAACATCAGAGTTTATAAATCGGCCTTAACTACGGAGGCGACACATGAATAAAAGTCAAAAGCAGTCGACGCGAACGGGAAGCGCGACTTTGATATGAATCAGTAGGGTGGTGGTGTTATGTATCAGACAGTTATTAACCAGTAATAAATTGGTTTGTTTTAATACAGCACATCAGATGTATATTTTTGTATTTACCGGTAATGGTGATAGCACCGCCGCAGGTGGAGCAGTAGCAAAATTGGGCACTATAGTAGCAGACTGTAGTGGTATTGCAGCCACGTACTGCGGCGGAGGTGGTTCCACGAACGCCTGGGGTGACATCGCCTGCGGTTGCACCTGCGCGGTCATCATATGTTGCTGTTGAGGCGAAAGTGGTACTGCTTGTTGGTCAGGTGATGGAGCCGTCGACTGGTGCTGATTGACAGGTATCGTCTTGCCGGTCAGAGATTGTTGCTGACTGTGATGCGTTTGGTGACCCTGATAACTGGTAGAACGTTTCTGAAAAAATAACAGAGGTGCTTAACAGATCTATTGAAGGTTTGTTTTTGATTTCAGGCTCGCTCATCTCTTTATAGGTTAGTTTGAACTTATCACTCTGAAATTATAACGAGTATTGTCTCAGCCTTAGGCGGAAAAGACGAGATCGCCGCTAGGGGACGCTTTTTCAGTCACAGGTTAGTTCTTAAGTCAGTTAACCTTAATTTTTATCTACCAGTTGATCCATAAATGAATAAGATGCTTGGCTTTATTAGAAGATATTTCAACAACCCTGCAAACCTGTTATGACTATACTCGTAGCATGCATTTAAACATAGTAATCTCTCTTTTGCGTATTGGGAACCAACAGTACACATAAGAAGAAATGAGTCTGTCCAACATAAGTTCTTGCGAATTCTGGCTTATGAGCCGGGTATTATTGTAAATAATCACGATTATAGCTTGGTAATTGGAACATTTGGCTAAGAGAAGGGTATTTATCTGATTTATGTTTTCTTAACAGAATCTTCAACAATAAAATTGACTGCTTTCAGTATTAATGTTGACAAGACTAAGTGTATGATACTGAAATCTGCATTTAATGTTCAGGAAACTTATCTGCACGACGGATTTATAATTAAGAATAATAAGATTAAACAGATTAACAAGTATAAATATTTAGGAGTTATTTTATTTATTTATTTTATTTATTTATTTATTTACACTTTACCCAACAGCTACAAAGCCAATTACAGAGTAGGATAAAGTTCAAATATCAAAAATACACAATATCTTACATATTACACACAAATGTAGGAAGTTCAGTCACAAGGATACTATATACAAATATTTACAAAAATGGCAGTGTAGATAAAAAATTAAATAGCAAATAGCAGACAAGACATCATAAGGAACCACGCAGCAGATAGGACATCAGAGAAATATATCTAATTGATCCGCAATGTCATTCGCTTTACCACATGAGCTATACAATGGAGAAAACTTTAAAATATTTGTTCTAGGGGTAGGCAAATAGAAGGTATTGCATTGTCTAGCATTCAAACGCGGGACAAGGAAATTAAAATCATGCAATATATTGCAACAATCAATACGATTGTGCCATATATCAGTCACGAACTTAACACTGCACTTATCACGCCTATGATAACAAGGGACCTTAGTTCATGGACGTCATTACTTATATATAAAACAATAGTCATGCCTCACTCTAACTACTGTTCCTCCATATGATATATGTTTCAGAAAGGTGATATAGATTCACTACAGAGAAAACAAAATCAGGCTCTTTAATGTTATTAAGATGTAATAGATACACAAGAATAAAATACATGTTAGAAGTAACTAATTTATTAAGTATCAAACAAATATATTTTACAATAAAATGATAGTCATCTACAAAATAAACAATGGAATGTATCCCGAACACATATTGGAAGGTTTGCAATTTGTCTGTGATATTCATAGTTACAATACAAGGAATAGGTTTGATTTTTATGTTCCTGCTGTGGGGTCTGCTTTTCCGCAAAATAGTTTATTTCTTAAAGGCCTTATCTACAAATTTTGTCAAATTCAAAAGACAATTGAGAATTTATGTAGAAAATAGTGTAAGTTTTAGATAATAACATTATATATATATATATCCTATCACTAAGATTGCCACCTCAGGCTTACAAATTGGAAGCTTTCCATCGGTAAGTTTTAACTTTATCACCAATACGGTAACTTACGTGAGCTGGTCGGTGGATGGAAGACGAATATTTTGACCCAGGGGAATCACACGAAACTGATGTGCAATCCGAGGCCGAGCCTGGCCTAATGGTGCCTCTAGACTTCGCGTCGCCCCCGCTGGAACTCAGCCAAGACAAGCCTCCTCCTCCTGTTGTCTTCACGCTCATGGCTGGTGATTGCTCGCCAAACGCTGTGGACAGTGACTCACTATTGGAACCCTCGCGATACTGTTTTAAGACATCCGAGTAACTAAAAAAATAATGGAGATATTTATATTAAATCAGTCAAAGCAGCGCTTATGGAACAAAAAGAAAAGTTGTTTCACATGCACAAATATTGTTAAGCGGTGCTGAAAACCTGTGTAAAACTGGTTGTTTCTATGTCTCTTCGGATCCAGGCGGAAATCTTTGCGATTCTGGCTTGTGTATCTCACATTCTGGAGGAGGGTGGGCCTAGGAGAAGAATAACAATCTTATCCGACAGCCAGGCTGCAATGAAAGCACTAAGTGCATGTAAGATTACTTCGAGTCTTGTATTGCAATGCAGGGAGGCTCTGGATTGCCTCGCAGCGAGGCATCCGGTATCGTTAATATGGGTACCGGGGCACGCTGGGATAAGGGGCAATGAGACGGCGGACACTCTCGCGAAAACAGGATCAGCCAGCAAGCTCGTTGGTCCTGAGCCAGCTCTAGGAGTAACCGCGCATAAAGCTAGGAGGAAAATGGAGACGTGGGTTGCAAGACAACACTCTCAGAAATGGAGAAGTATCTCTAGACATCTCCGCCAGGCACGAGAGCTCATTGAAGGGCCCAGTGCTAAGGATGGACGCTTCTGCCTATTTCTGGGTAGAGCCAACCTAAGGTTGCTGGTGGGACTGTTGTCTGGCCATAACACGTTAAGGCGGCACCTGCAGGTGATGGGGTGGCTGAGGATCCCTTGTGCGAACGCTGCGGAGTAGAGGAAGAGACCTCGGCGCACGTTTTGTGTCGCTATGAAGCTCTGAGCTACTAAAGGCAGACTATACTGGGCTCCATTACTTTGGACCCTCAGGACGTAAAGGAGCTTGGACTCAAGGCGATTCTCAACTTCGCTAAAAGGGCGAGGCTTGTGATTTAAGTATTGTAGAGGTGCATAAGGGCCCGCTTAAGCGGCCTATGCACTGGCTCCTTATGGTGGCCGGGATGCCAAATTCAAGATTCATTCATTCATGTCTCTTCGGAAGTATTTTGAATTGAGTTGAGTTCGAAATAATTTTTACTATCTGTAAGTACCGACTTCTACAAATTGTCCTTACAGTAGAGACTTTCCTTCACACAGCATACTCGTATATCTAGCTCTTGTAAAACTAATGATATTGCACTAGTCCCAGAAGTCGACGATAAGTCGGAAACTTGGATAGGTCATTATTATCAACAGGGAAATATACAAAAAAAAATTAAATCGTGTAAATCGTTTTGTCAAAATATGTTACAGAGATACCGGGACAATCTGCGATTTTCAGGGAAAAGTTTAGGAACTGATGAATCGATTTTTGAAAAAGATGAATCTACACAACTTACACGACTGCCGTGTAGAAAATCCAGATTTGATGAGAAAAGATAGATGACACTGTCGTTTCAAAGTAAACATGTGCACAGGGATTCTAAATGGGAGAATCATTCTACCCTTTGAACTGCTAGAGTTCTTGGATGGCGAAATATGATTGATTAAACTTTTTAAAAAATCATATACCAAATGTATTGCAATACGTGCCACTAGCAGATGGATAGGGAGGTCTGATACAATTTCGTGGCCAGCCCGTTCACCTGTCTTAAATCCACCCTGTTTTTCATACTGGGGAGCTGGTAAAGAAGTTTCCTCAAAGCCAATCGAAAATTTAGCTGAGCTACGACACAGAATAACGGAAACAACTGAATTTGTTAATAACGGAATATTCGCCGGTCTGATAAACCGATCATTTTTAAGAAGATGTCAAGCTTGAATTGTTGCTGAAGGAGGGGAGTTTGGATATTTATTGTGAATTTAATAAATACATTCTCGAATATTTGGCGGTACTATCTGATTTGCTATCACTACGTAGAATGACACTGTCCGTCACTCATGAGAAAAAATTGAAATTTGTAATAATGGGAACTAAAAGATCATCACAGACTGTAGATTTTTCTTATTCTTCCGATTTTTTTAAAGCCTAGATTTTTATATTTTACTGAAAACTATTATGAGTTGGCCTCGACTTCTGAGATACACTGTATACTAAAGTCTTAAGGCGAGCTATCGATTCCGAAAAAGTATACATCAATTCCGACCCTATTTCCAGAAATTTAGGCGCCGCGCTCCGTGTTGGAAAACTTTAAAATAAAAACCGGAAATGGCACATTCCTGTAACAATAGCGAGCTTTTAGATAAAATCTTCGTTTATGGTTAGTGTTTTCAATATGCTTCTAATACTTTGCGAGTGTATTCAGATCATCATAAAAAAGCCGTTTATAAGCCCATATCGATGTGGCATAGTAGAAACTCAACCTCCCGCCCAAAAATCCCAAAAAACAGGAATTTGAGGGAAAAGTCAGTAAACTTGTCTTTATCAAATCGGCCGCAATGTATGGCATATTAGTTTAGTTAATCCAAATGCATCTGTGTTTGAAAAGGAAAGTGCCACATTTCAGAAACCTGAGACTTGCTTACCTTACTACTCTATGTGTACAAACAATAAATTCAGGCTTAGAGTTCCATTGATGATAAGTAATGTAGTACCTCGTCTGCAACCAAATCCATTGCTGACCTTTAGTTAAGAATCTATAATAACATGAGGTGCCTTCTCCTTTTTGCATTAGCGCTTCGTGGCATTTTACTACCTGCAAAATTGCGTCCATTCAAAAAATATTATAATCAGAATATAGAGAACTATTTTAAAATTCATTTTTCAAATACAACAGATTTTTTGTTATACTCGTACATTTGTATGTACATATATCCTAAGCAGCAATGCTTACATGTGTGTGATACATTTTTTTTATGGATACTTTCTATAGTTAAATACTTTTACACGTTTTAGGTCTACTGATAAATAGAAAGTGATTAAAATTTTAACTCGAAATTTCGCAAAATAGCGCAACGTTAATAACGTGTTGAAGCTCCTGTTCGCTAAACATTCGTTGAGTCGTCGCGGCATTGATTGGATTAGGCGGGTGGGCCTTCTTGGTGTATATCCCAGGCCAACTGAGTTTGGTTTCGTAGAGCCTCCAATGTCTGTGGAATTTTGCAACCTTCTTCCCATCATGTCCCATACATGTTCGATGGGGAAAGGTCTGGAGATCGAGGAGGCTACTGAAGCAGATTTACTCCGAACGCTTCCAAAAAGTCTAAACTAACACGTCCGGCATGAGGTCGTGCATTGTCCTGCTGAAAAAGTGGATCTTGCTATGTTTCCAAAAAGGAAAGCAGATGTGGTTGTAACTCTTCGTGGATACAGCGCTGGCCAGTCATGCTACCTCGAATGAACACTAATCGTGACCTGCTGCCGTAACATACCATAACACCCAGAGTGCGATAAATATCCTGTTCGATGGAATATTGGACCACGTCTCCTCCTTACCCTTGCACGGCCCTCATGTGTCCCCAAACAGAATCTGGACTCACCGATGAACACGACTAAGTTCCATTCCATATAATAATAATAATAGTATTTATTACCCTCATTAAACAGTGTATACAAAGTTTACAAATAATGAATATTCCATTCAAGAATCTCCCTACTCGATACCAATCGTTGCCGACGATGGTGTGGCTCAGAGGTAGTACAAGATGGGACGGTATGAAAACAGTCCAAAATACCTTATTGGCGATAAACTATCCTCGTTGTTATTGCCCTTACGACGGCATCAAACCACTGGTTCGCAAAAGCCTTTACAAAAAATTACGGCTCGGGATGCCTTCAACATTTTATCAGCAAATATGTTTACTAGTTCTTGTCAAAACTCAAATAATTAATTCTGTGTATTGCATTTTATATGTCACTTAGTATAATAAGGGTTTCTGTAATAAATGTCGCCCTTTTATTTATACTGAGATACACGTTGTTTTGACTGTTCCTCAATGATTGTACTGATACCTTACCTTCTCCAGATCATCAATGTGGTAGTAGTCGTAGCCTGAGGTGCCCAAAGTTCAAAAGGCAGATAGCCAATAATGGGAGGAGCTCTATGGTCTAAGTAGAGGAACTTCCATTCTAAACTGTGCCTTGATGTGAATTCGCTCTTCACAGTCTCTACAAGAGGTAGTTCCTTCAGCAGTTGCGGTGTCTGCAGTCTACCTGTTCCAACGAATACTAACCTACACAGTACTACATACTCTGCTGAGTTATTAAAAGATAAGTAAGGCATGATTGCTTTAACTATTAAGAGCTCTCGAGAACGAAAAGCTTTGGAAACAATACCATCTATAACGTCACGACCAACGAATTCGGACTAGATTGAACGAGCTAGCTTGCAACTTGTTTTGAATCAAAATTACGTAGTCAACCGTTAAGATGCAACTGCATATTACAAGTCGATCAGACTGAAGCCGTCAGTTTAACAGTTGTTAACAATTCGCATTAAATTCGTATTAAATTCGTATTTTTCTGCCAGAACACTTAAAAGTGTGTGATGTTCCATACAGTCCTAGTGTTCCAGACAACTGCCGAAAATTGTGAAGGTTTCTGTGGATCGTAAAAACTGTTTAAGCTGATTAAAGCAGGTCTTTTGATCGATAAATGTTGATACACTGGAGAGCATAATTATAGCTCCGCCAACAATTTTCAGTTTCCTTTAGTTGGCTCAAATGTAACTTTTTATAACTTAAGGACTGGAGATTCTGTTTTTGTCAAATAACTAAGGTTCTACCAATGTCAATATATAAAATATTATACATTTTCGGAACCAGAATTACAAACTCTATCTATGAAAAAATAAATAATATAGCTTTTAAAAGAAAAAATAAAATTGATGCTCGAGGACAAAAGGCGAAACGTCATAATGAAATTCTAATTATGCCATGTTTTAAGGAGAAAAAGTGAGACAATGTTAATGTGCAATTTATATTGTAATCCCGCTACAAATAAGTCAAGAGAAAATTAAAACGACTTTGGGAAATTTTGATTTTTCCATCTCTCTCCTGAAGTACTTTGAATTTCGAAACTTTCTAAGCAGCATTTTGTTAGTTGCTCAAATACTCAACTTTGCTCCCATTTAAGTGACTTCGTATCTCTTACCGTTTCGGAGATCCCAATGGTGAGGTATACTTATTATAGTGCTCATCAAAAATATAAAGTTTACAAAATTACTTCCAATCTAATTTATTTAATGGATATATTGACAAAAATATAACAGGGACAATTACGATGTGATGCTCAACTAGGTATTTGCTCTTATTCAAGAATCTGCTCTTATCCTGTAACTATTTATAAAAACCGAGTAGTTTTCAAGCAAGGTGTCGTACTATTTCTTATATCAGATATTTCGCCATGCTGTTTGATGAAGGCAATACTAAAATAAAAATATAGATACACTACAAATTTCAATTTAAGAACATTTAGGGAATATAGAGAAAGCAGACATTAACGCTAAAAGGATCATCTTCCCGAAAGAACATCTGGCAACCCTGATCAGGAGGTATGTATTATTTATTAAAAATCTTGCGAACTGGTTGAAACAAAAGTATCCCACATTATTTGAGATCGTTAGAAACGTGTAAGTTTCATAGCTACTATGCAAGCGACAATTTACGTTGAAATAAAAAAAAATAAATGAAAAACCAAAAAAATCAACAATGCGAGGTGTTCCGAAGCGGTTACCTATCCAAATACTAAGGTCATGCTTTCACTGGCATTATTCTTGTATAACAAAGTTCGTTCGCGAACTAGTTACCAGAACTTAATCATTTTAGTGAGCGACCTGCTGAACTAGTGCACCGAATTAGCTTCTAATGTTATAAATACTACCGCCAAATTACAACAAAATTAGGCAAAGGATATTTGAGAACTTCCTACACACTGTACCTTGAGAACGAAGAATTTGCGGAAATATGTTTATAAGAACTGTTTGTCTTGAAATTACTCAAAGAACTGTCTGTTAAATTTATGGTGCATAATTAATCAACAGCCTGTATAGGTCCAGCCTTTTTATTTATTGAACTGGTGAATTTAGCAAACTGAAATTTAACGTGAAACGAAATTGATTATACTACAGATACTATCTTTAGCGTGAAAGTAGCAGTTGAAAATATCAAGATGGCGGCTGGGCGCCGTTTGGATTTTTTTTTTTAATAGAACGGTGAGTCGTGCTTATACCTCATTTTAAAGCTTCTTAACAGTGTGAGGTAGCGAGCAGTCAAAGTTGAGCGTCGTTCTACATAGCAACAACCAATCATCAAAAGTATGTACTATTCTGTAGAGCCTCTCCGAATATGTAATATATTACGGAACATTTCCTTTAAAAAATTATCAAACTCTGTTATTTTTTTAATTAATGTTCCATTTTTTATTGCACATTTAGATAAGGCGCTTCCAAATTAAAAACATTAATATGACATACTATAAAGCCTTGATGCTTAGTTGTTGAGTTATAAATGACTCAATCTACAAAAACCCTCAGCTTTAACAGCCTGCCGCTATTTTGAAAGATGATTGATTTTTTATCCTAAGGTTATAAAGTCGACCGAAATGAGACCCCCATTCTATTTAAAAAAAAAATTCCAAAGTAACGCCCAGCCGCCATTTTGAAATTTTCACGCTAGAACCTAGTCTCATTACACCAATTTCAGCTTGCTAACTTGACCTATTACAAAGTAAGTAGGGGAGGGGAAGGGCTTTTTAAAAAGCAGTGCACGCTTCGCTCATTCCACCCGAATCCGTTGTTCACTACCATTCCCGTTCTTCATATCATACCAAACGAAAATGCAGCGACTACTACTACTTTAGAGAAGGCAGACAACTTATTGGTCCGATTGTTGAACAGTCTTATATCAGTAGCCTGGGTAGCTACACCCTTTTACTATGAACAGTATATAGGGTATTCATTTAAAAACTTTCCACCACGTATTTATCAAAAACCACCGATTTAAAGAAAACACGACGAGACAAGTCAAAAGATTTGTCAAGGGGATAGCTTATTAACCAAAAACTACTTCACCCCCTTTCACCCTTAGCCCCCAGGGTCATTCCCTTAACTTTTTAAATGACAAGTGGTATCGAGTAATAGCTTGTTTGAAAGGTATTTCGGAGTCCTTTATTTTGACGTTTGATTTTTTGAAATCAGATGATTCGTTTTCGAGAAAATTAGAAAAATCTTTATTTATCTGAATTTGTCCGGATAAAAAACAAAACACACCAAAATGCCACTTTTTATTTCAATAACTTTTCAAAATATTGCCCGCTAGGGTTTGCCAAATCTACAATTCGTTTATAATTTAAAATGGAAACTACCAACATAAACAGCAATTCGGAAGATTAAACGTGGCAACAACCAAAAAACAACCCGAATTTCTTTCCGTATTATTTTCATCAATACAGATATCGTGGGCGAACTGTATTTATTGTTATATCTGTTCAGTTACTTATTGCTAAGGGAAAGAAAGAAAGTAATTGGCTGTCATTTATCTTTGTGACAATCATGGAATGGTGAATATTAATTTATTGATTCAGATTTTACAATGGTTTATACACTAGCCGAAAAAGTGGAAATAATTCTAATTTATGGTTTCCAAGATCAATGTGCTCCGCAAACTGCCGTCACGTTTAACGCAAGACATCCGGGGAAGATAACTTCGCATAGGTAGGATTTGAACCTTGTTACTAAATTTAATCAAACTGGATCTGTTGCAAATAAAAAACGTGATCATCGGAGAATTTTGGATGAGGCCGCTCAAGTTGGAGCTTTGGGTCATTTTGGAATAAATCCTAATACTTCATTACGCAAAATCGTTGCTGCGACTGGTATTTCATTACGCCCTGTACACACAGTTACTAAACTCCATAAATTGCATCCATTCAAAATGAAAATATTGCAAGAGTTAACAGAGGATGATCTCGATAGGTGAGTTGAGTTTTATGAACAAATGACTGGAGCAATTAATGATAATACCATTCGTATATAGAATATCTACTTCAGTGATGAATGCACATTTTATCTAAATGGATTTGTTAATAAGCATAACTGCAGATTTTTGTGTAATGAAAATCCTCATGCTTTTGTAGAAAGGCATACCCAGTACCCCCAGCGGACTAATGTATGAGCAGGCATTGTTTATTAATGGAAATTTGAATGGAGACATTTATTTGGATATTTTGGAAAATACCATAATTCGCTTATCACTGAAATCATTGAAAACCGAATTGAAGAGGATATAGGAAACCCTATACTGATGAGGTTGAAATATACAGGGTGGTCCATAAGTCCTTTGAAATTTCAAATTTGAATAAAATTTAACGGGTGAGCGTGAGCGGCGCGGGCGAGGTGGGGGCAGTATCTTCAGTGTCTGGGAATTTAATCGCCATGGAGTGTTTCACTGGAGCGGATCGTGCTTTTTGTGTGCGCGCGTTTTATCAAAATAATGATTCGGCAACCATTGCGCGGCGTAAATATCGAGAATACCACAATTTACACAATTTTACAAGTGTCCAACAGCTCAAACGATTAAGAACTGGGTTGCTAAGTTCGAAGAGACTGGTTCGACGTTAGATAAACAGCGGTGGGGTCGACCAAGGACAACTCGTATTGAAGAAAACATCAACATTGTGGCACAGTCTGTTCGTTAAAATCCTACCCAGTCTACTCGTAAGCGTTCCAGTGCACTAAACATACCCAGAACATCTTTACAGCGGATTTTAAGGAAGGATTTACCTCTGCGCGCTTACAAAATTCAGTTAGTGCAGGAATTAAAAGATAATGACGCTATTCAGAGACTAAACTTTGCGAATGAAATGTTGAATCGATTTTCTTCGCTCAATAATGTGTTGTTCTCGGACGAGGCTCACTTCCATTTAAACGGGCATGTAAATAAACAAAATTGCCGTTATTGGAGCCCCGAAAATCCAAGGCGTAAGCATCAGAAGCCCTTACACAGCCCTAAAGTTACAGTTTGGGCTGCTATGTCAGCGCATGGCATCGTAGGCCCTTATTTTTTTGAGGACGACAGAGGTCGCGCATTAACTGTTACTTCGGAGCGGTATGTAGCAATGATAGAAGAGTTTTTGACACCAGCGTTGCAGAGTTTTCCAGGCTATAATACGCAGACCTGGTTTCAACAGGACGGAGCAACTGCCCACACCTCCAACTCTTCTATGCCTGTCGTCTGTCAACTTTTTCCCAGCAAAGTAATTTCTCAAAGAGGAGACATTTCCTGGCCACCACGTAGTCCAGATTTGACCCCAATGGACTTCTTTTTATGGGACTACCTCAAGAGTAAAGTGTAAGACACCACTCCGCGATCAGTTGATGTCCTGAAAGAAAATATCCGAAGAGAAATGGCAAGCATTACAGTGTTGACTTGCCGCGCAGTCATCGACAATTTTAGACGTCGTTTATATGCGTGCCGTGATCGTAATGGATTGCATTTAGACGATGTGATTTTTAAAACATAATTCCCATTCAATAAAGATGATAACAAAATATAATAATTCTTCATAATGTAACTAGTTTGGTTTTATTCCTTTTCGAAAGACCTTTCAAACAAGCTTTTACTCGATAACCCTTGTCATTTAAAATTTTTAAGGGGATGACCCTTGGGGGGCAAAGGGTGGAAGAAAGGGAAGTATTTTTTGGTTAAAAAGTTGTTCCTTCGACAAATCTTTGACGTGTCTCGGTGTTTTTCTTTCAATCGTTGGTTTTCGATAAATCCTTGGTGGGGAGTTTTCAAATGAACACCCTGCATGTGCCTTGTATATAATGATGAGGGGGTTAGATGGTGTGAAAGATGCCTCTAGTTCCAAATTTTTACGCAACTACACCCGCCCTTACTTCGAATACTTGAACGCGAAAAGTAAAACGGCAGAAATGTGGAATTCGCTACCAAAGCGTATCGCTTTCGGGATTGACAATACAGCTCACACAAAAACAACAAAATTGTTGGCTCATTCCAAATCATGAGCCTAAACGTCACATAATTATACTAGTCAATCAATATTGAGACCTTTTAAGGAGAATTTTATGTTTCTACGTTTCTAAATTCTTTACATTCACACGAGCTTACTTTGAACGTCTTTCTGTCTTCACGTTAAAACTTCTACTTCTATAGAGCGATAAGTTGGAAAATGTAGATGAAACGTTGCTAGAAAGGAAAAGTATTATTTGTTTCAATGTGAGACGCTTATTGTATTTTTATAACGATTATTTTGGAATACCTAAAAGCATGATATTATATAACATGAATTTTTCAAATGTATTTCCTATGGATATATTTGACATGTTCATGCTATTGGCAGATGAAAAGAATCGCTGAAAAAGTGAATACAGGATGGTTCAAAATCTTTACCATGAACATAATTAGGATCAATACAACGAAACAAAACATATAAAAACTGGCTCCCTGTCGATTTATCGGAAAATTGAGTATGGTATATTTCTCGCTTTTCCAAACAAAAGTTCTAAAGGAACCAAATCAACCCAAGTTTGACTGATTTGCAAAAATGGTGAGTGTGTCAATTGTAGTCCTCAGGTCAAATAATCAGAAAATTGTTATATTCAAGTATTTTATTGGGAGGTTTCATATTGATCTTGGTATGACTCTTACAAGATCAACTCAAGATTTTTATACGTTAAACCTGGCACGAGTTGTTCGAAAATTCAAAAAAGATCACTCAAGAGGACAGATCGCTTTACAAGCTATTCGATTATGATCTTTACAAGGTCAATTCAAGGTCATGTTAATATTGAAGGCGAAAGAGATAGAAAAAGCTTTAGAGTATTGCAATTTATTGACTACTAATTAAGGTTTTTTTTTTTTGGTCTGCTTTCGGCATATTGGACGGTTTCAAAAAATAATTATACCTATATAACTCCAATCTTGTGAAGAGCATATAAAAAAAC